TTCCCCAATATTTTGTCACTGATTCTAGTGATCACTGGTATATGAATAAATAGCTTGTTTGCTTGGTATAGTGAGAGAAAACCTAAATTTCTACTTTTAAGGAGTACCTAACTCTACTTTATTCCAATAGTCATGATAGAATAGCAAACATTACATTTAGGGATGATTGAAAATCCTTTCTTGGTCCATCTGCTCCAGGCTTATGCCCTGGGCCCCAAGAGCAGGAAGCAAGAATTTCAGACAAACATGGGCAAGAGCCCTTGACTGTGCAAGCACATCAAATTAAGAACCCTCTTAAAAAATATGTATTGTTTCCCCCTTATAAACCACCAAGGGAAATGTACTCTGAGCTAACGTGAAGAACATAAAGACAGAGAGGTAGGTAACAAGGCAGTGATGGCACATGGTTCCAGAGGGTCACCTAAAGGTCACTAAAGGACAAAAGAGCCCATGAATTAGAAATCCAGCCTTAACAACAGTTAAAATAACACAGGAAGAGATCTCAACTGCACTGAGTAAGGTGATCAGTGCACAGTCTGGTGGGTATCAATCTAGATCTAACATTTAGGAAGAAGAAAACAGCAAAGATTTATATCGGTCTTCCATTTGTGAATAAATAAATCAGGCATCGCAAGCTCAATGGCCTATAGAGATAGGCAAATAGGGGACCAACAGATGGCATAATGGTTACGTCTCTGGACTCCCATGTAGTTGATCACGGTTCGAATCCCAGACTGGGCGGCTTAAAATTCATGCTGGGCATGTGTGTGTGTGTACCAAAAATCCTGAGAGAAGAAGGAACTGCAATGTGGCTATCGCCCCTGGAGGGTGATTTCTCACTTTCTATCTCCCTGTGTCTCTCTGGCAAGTGTGTGTGTGTACTATAGTAAAAATCTCTCTTTAAAAAAGAAAAAAAAGAAAGAAAGAAAAGAACTAGGCAAATGGAATAAATAAGTGAAGGAAGTCAAATTCACTTGTGAGAAGCAAAGGATTTTCAATCATCCCTAAATGTAATGTTTGCTATTGTATCAGAAGTGTGGCAAATTGGAGCTTACGTGCCTGAAACACTTGCCCCTTCTAGTGGAGGCACACCCTCCACTAGAACGGCAGTAACAGCAGCTTGCACCACCGAAAATTCAAGCCCAGGGCTGCCAAGCAGATATTGCAATTCTAAAAAAAGCTAGAAATATGAATTCTATTGTGAACCTCTATTTCTTAAAGTTGGGCAATGTAATTAAATTTACTTTTTAAAACACACAGTTCAAACCAATTGTATTTATGTAGCCCAGATTTTTTGGCCCATCAATCAACAGTGTATGCTCTCAGATTATAATATATACAACCCACAAGTAAGTCACTCGGTTTCTCAAAACTTTCTACCCTGCTCCCATGCCCTTGTGTGCTCCATATCTGT